GTTTGAAACGTTATAAACAAAAAGTTAATGATTTGATCATCATTTTTTTTTATACTGGATAGCTTCTACATAGATGAGCATGATTGTCACGCGGTAAAAAAACGAATATGCTGCTCTCGACGAGAGCAAGCCATTGATGTCCATTTTGTGGTTCCAGGTTAACAGGTGATCTCAAAGGTCTGGTTGATGATTCAAAAAGTGAATTTGATTTGCTTTTTGGAAAATAACTTACGTACAGGGTGTTTCACTAAAAGTGTCAAAAAGTAAAAGGTCATAATGCTCATAAGAACAATGTTTTCTAAGGAAATTTGCATATCATTTCATCCGCAATTGTTGGACATTTGAATATATAACAGCGATATCACCGTCACTCAAACCTATTCCACATATCCGCCCCTTCTTTTGATGCACCGTTTCGGCACGTGTCCGGAGGTGCCTCACAGCCCGTTTTCATATTCAGCGTCCAGACTGTCGGCAAAGCCTTGAATTGTGCTCTTCAGCTCCCGAAGTGATGCGACTTGAGTCTTCCTCAGCTCTGCGAGAGCTACTGAGTCAATGACCAAAACCAGAAGTCTAGCGGTGACAGATCGGGGCTTCGCGCTGGCCATGGGGGCGGGCGGTGAGGCAGCTGATTATCTGACCCAGGAACTTCTGGTCCAGCCAGTTCCTGGTGGCTACAGCTGTCACAGTGGTTGTTTTTGATAACTTGTAAGGCCTTGGCTATTTCTGATGTTGAAATTAGCTTCAAAGGCCCTCAAAAAGACCCTGACCTTTTTAACGGTTTCCGCCGAGAGGTGGGGGCGACCCCGCCTTTTTTGGACTGGAACTGGCATCGAAGGAGGCCTTTTAAACCTCTTAAGAAGCCCTTTTAAACTTTTATAATCTGGAACGTAGCGAGGTGAGAGAGTAAAACGTTTCCTGAAAAGTCGGCATACGGTTTCAATGTTTCTGATGGCACCAAATTTAAGTGTAATTCACCCCTCCTGTGGAGATGTAAATAACCTGTTCTTGATCTGTATAGGGAAAAAACGACTAGTACCTAACTTTGGCCTCCTGCCCTCGCTCCGTATGGGTGTAAAATACATCTTAAATGGACAAAGCATAAATGTCCCAAAATTTGGAACAAAGCCACGTGCGCAACCACGTGATTTGCATATTTTATATATCTTTAATAAGCATTTACTTTTTGACACTTTTAGTGAAACACCCTGTAGAACGGGTGCAGGGCAAAAAAAAGCACCAGCACATTGACATTGTTATAGACGTATCGAAGGGTGTACTTTCTGTCGGAAGAAAATGTTACGGTCAAGGTGATGTAAGATGACCTGAGTTGACCTCGGATGACCTTGATACATGATTGGTCGTATACCTGGTGTGCGTTCGTAGGCGCTGATTAAGAGGAGCATTCATTTCAATCTGCTCCATTATCTTGATTCCTGATGCTAAGCAGGGCTGAAATGAAAAATAAGACTCATTATAATTGCTAACTATAACACTGAGCTGAATTTGCAAAACTGGTCATAAAGTAGGCCACACTATAGGATACCCACCCAGACCAAAGTCTCCCCCTAACTCGTATCATCCTTCCGGCCTTGAAATGGTCTCGTCAGACCGAAACGAACTAAACCCAACAAAACAAAGAAACAAAGCCTGCCGTCAATTATAAGGCCCGGCGCCCTTCAGGCTGGGATCAGGGACCGGCAGGGTGGGACAGGACGAGCTGGGACAGGGGACTGACAGGGTGGGACAGGACGAGCTGGGACAGGGGACTGACAGGGTGGGACAGGACGAGCTGGGACAGGGGACTGACAGGCTGGGGGTCGAGAGACCAGCTGATCGGGACGAGTGTCATGCTCCAGAATGGGGGTGGGGGGGTGGGGGGGTGGGGGCTTGAACGAGGGACTGGCGGACTGGACCGCTATTCGAAGGCCAATGTTATTACGTGAGACAACTGATTCTTGGATAGACCCAGGACAAAATAATTCGTTTTTTTTTTTCGTCGCCACAATAAACGCTGGAAATAAGTTGCTAGACCAGCCTGTTCGGATACAAACTCGCAACAAGGCAGCTGATATACAAAGAAACCGACGTAAATTATGACCGAGGGATGAAGGACCAAGGTAATGGAAGTTACTTGGTTCGTCACACACTGCTATTGCAACGAGTCCCTTCTTCCGTTTCTGAAAAATGTAACAGCGTTCCGGAATGGAAGAGCTATTCATTGTAAGTCAACTCTAGTTAGGCTTGCACCATGCCTCATACTATGCTAATTGCTTATCTCGGGATTTAGCGACCTAGCGGGGCTAGCCAGGAGTGTAGCCTAGCCCTTGCGCTGCGCGTTTAGCTTGACACTCTGGCAGCGTCTGATGAACTTACAATTTCCTTGCACCTTACAATTAATAATGACCATTTGTAAGACGAAATTCCTTTCATCAGTGGGCCACAATTCATTGCGTGTCACCAAGCGCACACGATCCGATCGCATGTCATCATACTGGTGTCCCTGGAAGGTCACCGACCGGCCAGCCACGCCCTGGTGACCTAGACACAGGGGAGGTAGGGGGAGGAGGATGTCCTCCGGGGTACGGGTGTACTTTCCTGACCATGGGGAGTTAACTGTTCCATTAACCAGGTAGGTTTCACAGGGACGGTATAAAGGAGGACCGGAGGATGGAACCGGCATCAGATCTCACACAGACAGATCCACACCAACACAACATGAAGCTGGTAAGGAGGGGAGAGCTTTGTTGCTTAGATATTAAATATATTGTCTTTTTATTGATTGATATCCAGCAAACAATTATAATTCAAGAAAATATCGTCTAAAGTGGATGTTTTTCTGCTTTTTTCACAGCTCGTTCTCGCCGCCGTGCTGGCCGTGGCTACCGCCGCCCCCAGCCGCAGCTACGCTGCCCCCACGTACGCCCCCAAGGTGTACCAGATCCTGAAGCAGGAGGCAGAGCTCCGCGACGACCAGTCCTACGACTCTCAGTAAGTTGACGCTTGACACTTTATATGCCCTGAGTTAATGTCAAAGGAAACTTGGATAAATGATAAGTGATAAGCACATAAGGGCCTTTATTGTGCTAAATTCCATTTTAATTGACATTCATTTACATCTAATATTACATTTCCATTAACATTTTAGGTAGAAAGCAAAGAATGACGAGTGAACCGAAGAGCCAACAATGCGTTTCCTCTTTCCCTTTTCCAGTTTCGAGACTGAGAACGGCATCTACGCCTCCGAGTCGGGCAGGCCGGTGGAGGGATACGGCGATGACGAGGAGAGCTACGACGTCAACGGCCAGTTCAGCTACACCGGTGACGACGGTGTCGTCTACAAGGTGGTCTACGTGGCCAACGGGAACGGCTTCCAGCCGCAGGGCGCCCACCTGCCCACCCCGGTGCCCACCGAGTACCCGACCCCGGAGGCGTCTGATGATGATGACGATGAGGAGGAGGAGCGTTACGAGGCTCCTGAGGAGGAGGACGATGATGACGAAGCTCCCGCCGGCTACTTATACCAGCCCCAGTATGAGCGCGTCATCGTCGGCTACAGGCCCCGCTACCAGTAGATCCATACGTCCGACACATGTCCATGTGTGACAGGCGTCTGGTTTTCCACTGATGTAGATACGTTTCGGACCATGTGAAAAGATTCGAGTCTAGCTGTGATGCTTGCTATTTATGTATTTGTTCTGTGTTATTTATTTGTACCAATGTATCGAATACAAACCAGCAGTTATTACATATTTTCATTCCGTGAAATAATGGCGATGAATGATCTCCGGCAAGCGTAAAATCTTATTCTTATTGACATTTTCATGTGAGTTCAAAACAATGGCAAAAATGAAAACCTAACAAAACTATAAAAAAGCGAGCGACTACTAAACCCGCACTGGGCCAACCGCGACGGCCCGAGAGTGTTTAAATCCCTCCCATCCCCTCACCCCCACCTCCACCCCCCTAATTCGGCTACTAGCGACGCAGTGAAACGCGTTATGCAGTATGTAATCGAAAAAGGGTAAAAAATATGACGGAAGTACTTCGGCCATCTTCAGGTCAGGTCAAAGGTCAGGTCATTAGAGGTCATCGCAGGTCAAATTGCCTATTGCAATATTGTTGTGACAAATCGGCACATTACTCGGGTACCGACAGAGATGCAGCGCCGCTGGAAGTTGCATTTGATAGCCCTTTTAACGGTCTTTCTTGGGTAAGCTTTCAGATCGGATAGCAGACCAATGGTTTAGCCTCCAGAGAGCAAAAGCTCCGAATATAACTTTTTTTTTTTTTACAAAACAAATGCTCCTTTTCTGTAGCAAATTTTGACTACAGAAAAGTACGACTTTGCTTTTGCCAGCATAGTGTTCCTCTTATCGAGACGCGTCAAATGAACCATAATCTGATCCATAAAGGGTCATTTCACAAATTTGACCTCATTTCAAGGCCATGACCTGACCGGACAAGGTTATGCTGCAGAACTGCTGGAAACCTTTTATGCCAGAGATGACCTCCGGGACATAATGAGGTGTCACGGGTGCAATTTTTCCATTCAGTGTCATTTTTGTCTGCAACTTGATGTTTGAGAGTGTTTGTAATGACGTTTGTTCTAAAGAGATTCCTTCCAATTTTCTCCTTTTGACTTGGCAATGGAGAGGGCGCAAAATGACCGGGATCACCGTATCACACTTCCGAGAGAAAAATTTCTTTGTAGGTACATATATTGTTACTCTTATCAATCACTGGGCGTTTTCAAAGCGAGCCGGTGTAGTTCTATTCTAAGGTGTTTTTATCCGCTGGGACTGAGATCCCCGTATAGCCCAAATCTTTAACGAGCTTGCAAAAGATGACTGATGTCATCACTGTCAACCGTGGCGGCCGTATGGCTACCCTTCTACGCTGGAGTACGAAAAACATCATCTCACGCTCTCAGTCCCAGCGGATAAAAACACCTTAGAATGATCCGCATAAAACTTGGTAGAAAGCTCGTTAAAGTACTTGGTCTATATAGCTCAGAGGTAGAGCATTGGAGCTCTAATCCAAAGGTCCGGGGTTCGAATCCCCGTATAGCCCAAATCTTTAACGAGCTTGCAAAAGATGACCGATGTCATCGCTGTCAACCGTGGCGGCCGTATGGCTTGGCTACCCTTCTACGCTGGAGTACGAAAAACATCATCTCGAGCCGGTGTAGCTATGGCAGGCATAACTATTTCTGAGGTATAACTTCAATTGACCTGACCTAGACCTGGTGACCTTACCTTGAGCGATTTTGGTCTGAAATTTTTACATTTGCAGACAAGGTGCATGAACAGCTGTGTCAAAAATTTCGGATAACTTCTGAATTTTCGCAACGGGCTGTCTTTGTTGCAAATGAGCGAGCAAAGCGTACGAAACTAAGCCTTTCGTAAATGGAAAAACTTCAACTGTCCGGCCTGCCGCGGTCATGCTCCCTGTTATTTCAGTGACCACTGGATTTGCTAGTACTGGACCTATGAACTCTCGCCCGCACATGCCATTTTCCCACAAAATATTTAGTGCAGAGCAGAAAAACTACCTGGGGCGGGGGGGAGGGCAACCCCCATGTGATGGCTAGGGCTAGTTAGTAGTCACTTGCGGTCTTTGCTTGTAGGGTAGCTTCCTCACATTGACCATGTGCTGGACTATTCCCGATGCATGCGGGTGACCTCCACTGCACGTGCCACGTGCAAAAGGAGAGGTGTCAATTTTGCAACTGATGTATTCCCAGTACCGACACCATAACGGAACACCACTATCGGCCACAGCCGAGGATGGCGACAAGGATGAGATAGAAGACCTCAGGGAAGCTACAGCAGGACGGCACCAGCTACCACGGTCCACGGCAGGGAAGTAGCAAGTCAATTTTGTTGTTTCTGCGAATTGTTTAAAATAGTTAATGGCAAGCTGACAGCGTTCGAGCCAGCTGAGGAAACGTTTGAAAATTACTTACAGCGTTTCCAGTTTTATTGTCCAGCCAATGATGTACGAGCCGAGTCCAAGCAAAAGGCTTTGTTTTTAACGGTTGTTGGACAGGCAGTTTTTTTTTGGCAGATAAAAGATTTGCTTAGCTCGGTCCAGCAACAATGGCAATAACTCGTCAATTACTGTGCAGCGTGCCCCCAGTGCTGAAAATTGGCATGTATGCAGGCAATGCATTTCAGGCAACGCAGCGGGCAATGCATTTCCATACGTCACGGTTAGGATGATACTGCACGTACGCACGTGTAAGGGTCGCTTCCCTAGGAATGAGTGGGTAGATTGTGCTCCAATGTGGCACACCGCCAGAGACTGGTAAGTAGGTGGTTGTCCTCAGATCATTTTTAAGTACCGCTTCGCCCTTCTGCACATGCCCCAATGGATGTTTGTCGCCCCAATAGATGTCTTATTGGTTAGATTATTAGACACAGTCACTTATTGTTTAGAAGGCATCTGATCAATGCTGGTTTGTATTAGATACCTTGGCACATATAAGTAACAAAACACGGACAAATAAATAGCAAACAGCATGGCTAGACTTAAATCATTTCACTTGGTCAATAGCGTATCATCTTTCGCACAAAGCCAACCGTCTGAATGAAGTTTGGATCTACTGGTAGCGGGGCCTGTAGCCGACGATGACGCGCTCATACTGGGGCTGGTAGTAGCCGGCGGGAGCTTCGTCATCATCGTCCTCCTCCTCAGGAGCCTCGTAACGCTCCTCCTCCTCATCGTCATCATCATCAGACGCCTCCGGGGTCGGGTACTCGGTGGGCACCGGGGTGGGCAGGTGGGCGCCCTGCGGCTGGAAGCCGTTCCCGTTGGCCACGTAGACCACCTTGTAGACGACACCGTCGTCACCGGTGTAGCTGAACTGGCCGTTGACGTCGTAGCTCTCCTCGTCATCGCCGTATCCCTCCACCGGCCTGCCCGACTCGGAGGCGTAGATGCCGTTCTCAGTCTCGAAACTGAAAATAGGAAAGAGAAAAGGCGTCGTTAGTGGAGGGTCCAAATACGTGTCTTACTTTTTCACTTTTCGGAGAGATTATGGAATCGCAAATCCAGAAAGAATTTAGATGAGCGTAAATGAAATGATATAAATAAATACCCGTAAAAGATGCGAATATTTAGGACACCCTGTGGGGGAATTTATGACGACATTAACCAAAAGTACTACTCACGTTAACTTACTGAGATTCGTAGGACTGGTCTTCGCGGAGCTCTACCTCCTGCTTCAGGATCTGGTACACCTTGGGGGCGTACGTGGGGGCAGCGTAGCTGCGGCTGGGGGCGGCAGCGGCCACGGCCAGCACGGCGGCGAGCACAAACTGTGAAATGGAGGGAAGCAATTTAACTCATATATGATGCTTATTGCTCAATGAAACAACTGGAAAATGTTTAATAATCATAAATAATAATGTGCACCTTATGGCAGCATTAACGAAATGTGATTATCGTAGAAGTATCATTGCGAAAAAATGCTTCATTTTTAGGAACCTATACTTACCAGCTTCATGTTTTTCTGTGTTGGTGTGGATCGGTCTGTGGAAGATCTGATGCTGGTTCCATCCTCCGTTCGTTTTTATACAGTCCCATTGTAGCCTAGAGTGGTTAGCGGAACAATTAACTCTGCCGCCAGGGGAGTGCACCCGTACCCCGGAGGACGCCATCCCCCCTACCTCCCTGTGTCTAGGTCAACAGGGCGTGGCTGGTCGGTCGGTGACCTTCTGGGGGATATACTGATGTCACAAAGATCGGATCGCGATTACGCAGCTAGCAACTCAGCTTGACGTTATCACGATGTCATGACACGATTCTTTTAGTAAGGCGACACAGGGAAATATTCCATTACAGCGAGCAGTTTCTCGAAGAGGTGACAAAATGTGAGCTCACGATAAACCGGCCTATGAAACCGGTCATAATTTAGACTAGAGAGGTCATTATTTTGTGTGGCATGGACTTCGGTCTTACTGAAAATCATGACCGGGCTCAAATGTGCTCCATGGTTCAAGTGAACTTTGTTTGCCTATTTCTTTATTTTTCATTTTCACAGAACGTTGCTCCAGACTACGCTCGAAGTCCAGGACCAGAGCAAATAAGTAGAGATTTTGAGTGTGAGTGATCGACTGGTCCCTAAATAAATATTGAAAAGCTCACAATTCACATATCGATAAGGTCCCTACTTCTGGAGGGACACAATCGTCTGCAGAGTAATCAGTTAAGTACGTAAACTTCATTTTCAAAAGAAAAAATGTCGAGCCACTAGATCTTGCTAAAAACAACCCATATTTTCACCATCCTGCAGCTGTGGTTAGAGGTATAAAGTGTAGTTATAAGCGCTGAATAATTTAGAAAAATTACGGGAAGTATTTTTCATTATGTTTTATTATATATTATATACTTTTATGTGTAGATGCTATCAGTTCCCAGTGACGTCATTTGGGTCTTCCGCGTCTGTCCCAGTCCTAGCGTCTGTCGGATCCAACAGCTCTTTGCGCTATGCTGTAAAAAAGAAAAGAAAAAGAAAACAACTTTCGCCAATTGTGTTACTTACTATTTATGTATGTACATACAATTAAGACACAGCTCCAATATAACATACAGCTGCGTAATAAAATTGCGTTAATTCCGGCATGGGCGTAAGAACCTCACAACAAGTGAGGTTCGCACGCCAGCGAAACTTCGCCACTTTGTGGGAACCCAATACCCTATGAAGAAATTCTTTGCAGTTTTGTGCTCATCTCACGTTTCTGAACCATTTTCTGCTCTTAGTTTTGTATTCAAATCAAAAAGTAAAGATTTCTTTAAAATGGCTGAGAAGTGGGGGGGGGGAGGGTATGGACTGGACCCCCAGTCCCCTTCTCCTACGCCTATGAATTCCGGTCAGTTTTGTCACAGCACTTTTTTGTCGTTTTGAGGCGCAGGCTAAGCAGAGACGCATAAAATAGATCATTTATCGCACCTTAGTTAAACCAAGACATTGCCAAGATGGTGGTAAGCCGTCTTAAACAAAATTGAATCCAAAGCAATAAGAAATATGGAACGTGGAGTGTCAAGCTCGCCTATTATAGCCTCCTGAAATGATGAGTCATCCTTTGCACTTACGCTAGAAGATGCTATTCTTCAACCTCTGCATACGATACGAAGATGCTACTTTCAACTTCGGCATCACTCATATTATGCGAAAAACACATTTCAAAATATTTGATATGATTATCAGAAAACTTACGCTTTGGAGCGCTCATATGAGTAACATTATGAATATGAAAGAGAGGAAATATGTAAATGTTGGCCTCTCCTCGACAATTAGATTACTTTGATAGCCAAAAATATGCATTGATATTTCGGCCAACAGGCCTCCCTCAGAATGAGACAGTGTACACAAGTGTACGAGAATACAAAAAAAAATATGGTTAAATGATGATGATAATAATGAAATGAAATGATGATGAATGAATGATAAATGATAATGATTCATTTATATACTTGTATACACTGTCTCCTTCTGAGGAAGGCCTGTGGCCCGAAATATTAATATATATATTTTTTGGCAATCAAAAGAATTTAAATGTCGAGGAGATGTCAACTTTTTACCTATCTTCTCTCTTTAATAATTATTAGAAAGTGTTCATCGTCCCAGTTTAGAGTCAGCGAGTCGAGAGACAGCGGAGTCCTTCGATGTGAGTGTGACCTTCGCTGACCCAATCGGGCGACAGCTGTCCACTGACCAGTCTACCCAGACACAGGAACGGTATAAAGGAGGACCGGAGGATGGAACCGGCATCAGATCTCACACAGACAGATCCACACCAACACACAACATGAAGCTGGTAATGGCGTGAACATTTTTGGATTAAATCGATTCAAACTAGTTTTCATCAACATGACGTATCGGGATACATAATACTCTGCAAACTAGAGAGGAGATGAGACAACGCATGACTATTTACCGCCGTAATTTTTACAAATGTGATGACAATGCGCGTCTTTCTTCACAGTTTGTTCTCGCCGCCGTGCTGGCCGTGGCCGCCGCCGCCCCCAGCCGCAGCTACGCTGCCCCCACGTACGCCCCCAAGGTGTACCAGATCCTGAAGCAGGAGGCAGAGCTCCGCGACGACCAGTCCTACGACTCTCAGTAAGTTCATACTTGGGACTTTGTATACCTTGGGACGGGTTCATGTTCCTGTAAATTTTTCGATAGTTAATGATATGGTGCATAAATACGTTGCTGCGCTTATTTACACCTGTGTATGACGTTCATCTCAAGTCTATCTGAAGTTGCAATTCCATAATTACTGTTGAAAGCAAAGAAGTGCGATATTTCATTCGCACACTCGACTAACAATGTTTTTTTTTTTCTCTCTTTCCCTTTCCCAGTTTCGAGACTGAGAACGGCATCTACGCCTCCGAGTCGGGCAGGCCGGTGGAGGGATACGGCGATGACGAGGAGAGCTACGACGTCAACGGCCAGTTCAGCTACACCGGTGACGACGGTGTCGTCTACAAGGTGGTCTACGTGGCCAACGGGAACGGCTTCCAGCCGCAGGGCGCCCACCTGCCCACCCCAGTGCCCACCGAGTACCCGACCCCGGAGGCGTCTGATGATGATGACGATGAGGAGGAGGAGCGTTACGAGGCTCCTGAGGAGGAGGACGATGATGACGAAGCTCCCGCCGGCTACTACCAGCCCCAGTATGAGCGCGTCATCGTCGGCTACAGGCCCCGCTACCAGTAGATCCAAACGTCCACTTTCTCTGCGATGTGATACTCTACCTGCGGTGTGAAAGAAAATGTTTTGCTTTTTTTGCTTTGATGGTATTTATTTTAGATGTCGTTAAAAATACACTTGGATCGAAGTGTTACATGATTTCTGTGCTGAGCTTGGCTTTGTTTACCATATTTATTATTTCAAATTTAAACAGGCAGTTATATTTTGTACAGTTTGTGAGGAAGCGCAAGGAAATTGCTCTTTTTGTGTTCTTTTCATCGGCAACATATAGCCGTCTGAAAACGAGCACTCTTATGCAAGGGACACCACTTTTTCCTAATTTTTCATGAGCTGCTTCCTAGTAAAGCAAAGAGTTTTTGCAATAAGCGGCTATAATAGTTAGCATGTCGGAATCAAAAGACGTAGCGCTTTTATTTATACAATTGCTTTATACGCACGAAATTATTTTCAAAAGCAAGAAGGTAGGTATAAGGAGATCGGACTCAGACGAAATATATTACATACGCCTTAGATCAATATTTGTATCCCACTAGAATGGAAATATCTGTCCGAAATGCATAGCAGCACTGTCAGCAGCACAGCAGCAAACACGCATCTGACATATTTTTAATTTTTTTTCTAATTATTTTTGGAGCCCCTCCCAACACCCACCTCATGCTGCTACTTCTCTGCAGGTTTTCTGTTCCCAGGTCACATCAGGTCACCTTCCGTGTCCGCCGCTCCATACGCCCTTCACTCGCCAGTCAGTCGATTCCAGTCGCGCACCGTTAAGGTAACGATCCACAATACATTAGCGGAGTACCCCTGCAACTGAGGCCCCCAGAAGGGGAGGTCGGGAGGGGGCGGGACAGTAGTGGGATGGGCGGGCCCAGGGGCGGAGTTTGGCACCCGGAAGTGACCGTGGGACCGGGACGCCATTTTGTTGCGCTGCCACCTGGCCGGTGGCAGCGGACGGTGTCGAAATGGGTGGCGTGGTGACCCCCCCCCCTCCCCCCAGTGGGGATGGGGGAGGGTGCTGGACGGTGCTGCCAGCGTGGCCGCGGCACATGAGGAGCGGCGTATGGGTCCATGCATGGCAGGCCAGGGCCCGATCGTACTCAGGCTGTATAATAATTTTATTCCAGACATTCCTGAAACGATTGTTCTTTGAAATTAACGTTTAGTGTGCATCCTCATAATAAAAGAGGATAAAAAGACGGTTCATCAAGGATTATCATCATCATCTTCAGGTTAAGTGAGTTCTATACACAAATTATTCCTTATTGCTTCCAAATCTAAAACTGCATTGTATGTTGGTAAGCAATTGCGCCATTTATTAAACCCATCATTGAGAGCACAAAAAAGCACACTATGTCACGACATTTTCAAACAAATGTTCCCACAGCCGCCGTCCTGCTGACCAGTCAAGGCCTATCTCGCAGCTGCTCTCGTAAGAAGCCCACGAGAAAGCTCACCGAACTGCAGCTGTCGAGCTTTGAGTCAGTGACATGCCATCGCCTGACCGACTCCCTGTGTGCCGGCTGGCCAGCAGGCGTCATGCCGCCTGCATTATGCCCAATGCATATGCATGTGAGCCGGTCAGAATTATTCAGATGGTGTCTTTGACGCGGCGGGCAGCTGCGGCGTCGGATGGCGTTCAGGCTGCTGCCTTCGGCATCCGCTGCTGTTCCGACTGCTGCCGAAACTGCCGTCGCCACCCGAGTGTGAATCCAGTGGAGAGTGAGACGACGCACAGATAAATGACTGAAGGTGAGTGAACGGGAAAGCCTTGCTTTTTTGCATTGGCAGGCATTGTCAATTGCAGGGGTGGATT